TTAAGCCCTGAAAACCCTAAACCCTGTCAATCCGGCAAACCAAGTAATGAAGACCAACATGACGCTTGAAGCACTGAAATCCCCACAACAAAGCCCTGGAAGCAAAAAGCCGCAACTCACAGACTAGGCGCCCCAGCCATCCCATCGGATAGGGGATTGTTGCCACGGCCACTTCCGAAGACCTAGCTGAATCGAATCGTTCAGGGCATAAGGGTTTAAAGTAGGTGCAGGGCGTAGATTTTGGGGGTTCGGGGGATTCGGGCTTGGACACCTGGGCCCTGAGGCAAAGTGCGCAAAACCAACACTCGACATGGCCAGCGAACCAGCAGCAACCGCTCAATGCAGGAATCGACATAGTTGCTCCCCCCCCTGGCCACAATGCTGGCGAAGATACAACCGAAAATGAAGGTAGCGTTTTCAACCCCGCGTCTTTTCTTTCGAAACTCATGTAAAAGATGTGGACCGGGCAGAATCAAGCAAATGGGGTGTTCATGTTGGTTCATCCATATGCTTACGTGGGATAGTGCGGAACTTTCAAGCTGAAGACTCTGAGACCTGGGTCAGGGTCGACACACATCCAAAACACATCGAGCACGTAAAGGTGGTGAATGCATTCACCCCCAACCCCCAAAGAACGTGCAGTTCTCGGGGGCGCACCAGGAATCCCAGCCAGGCGTTGTCACCCTTAGCATCATCTAATGGTGCCCGGCATAAAGCGAAGGCAACCATCTCTCTTGAAAAATCACGGTCTGGCAAAGCGAAACGGAACTAAGTCGTCCAAGGACGTGGTAGGAACCGCAACGGAACTCCCTGCATTTTGTCGGTAATGGAACGGCCTCAATGCGGTACGACAGGCTTCGGTCGTGAGGGCCTCGAAGTCTCTGAAGGACACCAAGATTGGAGGCTCTACGTCCACAGCGCTTGTGACCGCTTGTGCTTCCAGTGTGAAGGACGAGGGTTGGCTCGGCCAGTGGAGTTCCGGGATTCGTGCTGGGCTAAGGCTCCCTGCTGACATTGTGCGAACGTGGAGCCGGAACGTAAGGAGTGGATGACCGGTGCTCTCTAGTTGGAGTCAATTCTTTTTTGTCTCAGACTTGCTGCGTATGCATGCCTACTTCACTGCAAATTTCTCTCTCTTGCCGTCTCTCTCCCACCTATGTATGTCTGTATGTACGTATAAATATGTGGTATGTGATTGTATGTGAATATTTCAAGCAAGTATGCAGGCAAGTTTGTGCGTGTGCGTGCATTTATACCTGCACGCAGGTTTTGTCGCCAAGAAATTTGAACAACCCCCTTGCTAGCACCAAGAACCCAATCGCCGAAGACTCTAAACTCTTAAGCCTTGAAAACCCTAAACCCTGTCAATCCCGCAAACCAAGTAATGAAGACCAACATGACGCTTGAAGCACTGAAACCATACCCATCCCCAAAACAAAACCCTGGAAGCAAAAAGCCGTAACTCACAGACTAGGCGCCCCAGCCATCCCATCGGATACGGGATTGTTGCCACGGCCACTTCCGAAGACCTAGATGCATCGAATCGTTCAGGGCAAAAGGGTTCCTAGGACTTAAAGTGGACGGTGCAGGGCTTAGATTTTGGGGGTTCGGGGGATTAGGGCTTCGACACCTGGGCCCTCAGGCACAAGTGTGCAAAACCAACACTCGACATGGCCAGCGAACCAGCAGCAACCGCTCAATGCAGGAATCGACATAGTTGCTCAACACAAATCATTTGATGACTTCTCTGGCTCCCCTGCTCCCTTTTCCCCGCCTGGCCACAATGCTGGCGAAGATGCAACCGAAAATGAAGATAGCGTTTTCAACCCCGCGTCTTTTCTTTCGAAACTCATGTAAAAGATGTGGACCGGGCAGAATCAAGCAAATGGGGTGTTCATGTTGGTTCATCCATATGCTTACGTGGGATAGTGCGGAACTTTCAAGCTGAAGACTCTGAGACCTGGGTCAGGGTCGACACACATCCAAAACACATCGAGCACGTAAAGGTGGTGAATGCATTGACCCCCAACCCCCAAAGAACGTGCAGTTCTCGGGGGCGCACCAGGAATCCCAGCCAGGCATTGTCACCCTTAGCATCATCTAATGGTGCCCGGCATAAAGCGAAGGCAACCATCTCTCTTGAAAAATCACGGTCTGGCAAAGCGAAACGGAACTAAGTCGTCCAAGGACGTGGTAGGAACCGCAACGGAACTCCCTGCATTTTGTCGGTAATGGAACGGCCTCAATGCGGTACGACAGGCTTCGGTCGTGAGGGCCTCGAAGTCTCTGAAGGACACCAAGATTGGAGGCTCTACGTCCACAGCGCTTGTGACCGCTTGTGCTTCCAGTGTGAAGGACGAGGGTTGGCTCGGCCAGTGGAGTTCCGGGATTCGTGCTGGGCTAAGGCTCCCTGCTGACATTGTGCGAACGTGGAGCCGGAACGTAAGGAGTGGATGACCGGTGCTCTCTAGTTGGAGTCAATTCTTTTTTGTCTCAGATTTGCTGCGTATGCATGCCTACTTCACTGCAAATTTCTCTCTCTTGCCGTCTCTCTCCCACCTATGTATGTCTGTATGTACGTATAAATATGTGGTATGTGATTGTATGTGAATATTTCAGGCAAGTATGCAGGCAAGTTTGTGCGTGTGCGTGCATTTATACCTGCACGCAGGTTTTGTCGCCAATAAAATTGAACAACCCCCTTGCTTTCACCGTCTAGCACCAAGAACCCAATCACTCAAGACTCTAAGCTCTTAAGCCCTGAAAGCCCTAAACCCCGTCAATCCCGCAAACCAAGTCATGAAACCAACATGACGCTTGAAGCACTGAGAAACCATACCCATCCCCAAAACAAAGCCCTGGAAGCAAAAAGCCGTAACTCACAGACTAGGCGCCCCAGCCATCCCATCGGGTAGGGGACTGTTGCAGCGGCCACTTCCGAAGACCTAGCTGAATCGAATCGTTCAGGGCAAAAGGGTTTGTAGGATTTAAAGTGGACACTCGACATGGCCAGCGAACCAGCAGAAACCGCTCAATGCAGGAATCGACGTAGTTGCTCAACACAAATAAATCATTTGATGACTTCTCTGGCTTCCTTGCTCGCTTTTCCTCCGCCTGGCCACAATGGTGGCGAAGATACAACCGAAAATGAAGATAGCGTTTTCAACCCAGCGTCTTTTCTTTCGAAACTCCTGTAAAAGATGTGGACCGGGCAGAATCAAGCAAATGGGGTGTTCATGTCGGTTCATCCATATGCTTACGTGGGATAGTGCGGAACTTTCAAGCTGAAGACTCTGAGACCTGGGTCAGGGTCGACACACATCCAAAACACATCGAGCACGTAAAGGTGGTGAATGCATTCACCCCCAACCCCCAAAGAACGTGCAGTTCTCGGGGGCGCACCAGGAATCCCAGCCAGGCATTGTCACCCTTAGCATCATCTAATGGTGCCCGGCATAAAGCGAAGGCAACCATCTCTCTTGAAAAATCACGGTCTGGCAAAACGAAACGGAACTAAGTCGTCCAAGGACGTGGACCGGTTGCAGTCAGTTCTTGGAGAGTTGCTCATAGACTCATAGAGCCCTCCCGCATTAGCATTGCACTCAGCAGTCTGTTGGTGTGCTATAGGTATTGAACTTATGTCACATGCTGCTGATGTATGGATCTTCCGGAAGGAGCAAAAACATACTGGCAAAGCCTCGCATGTATGATCTTGCAAAGAGCAGACGTTGGGGACCCAGCTGCTCTTGCGGTGGAGGTTCAGGAACGCCTCCCGAGACTTCCAGGATTAGACGGCTTCAGGCTTCTGGCAAACCGAAACCTGAACGCGAGCATAGATTGACATGTGCAAGGTGTGAGGATTGAACTCGCAGTTATGTAAGGGTTCTCAATGGTTCCCAGAAGCTCCCAAGCACCGGGGTTGGGAGGGCTTACAGGCTTTCGGACGATTTCAATCTTGCACATCTTTCAGGAAGCCTTGGGGCTAGGCCCTGAAGTCAAAACATCTCCGATTGAAGGCCTGCAGACACAAAGCTCACGTCTTCGAGAAGCCCCCCAGGCGGCAGCGGGACTGGAATGTGGCTGGGGGTTCGGTGGGCTCAGGAAACACGGAGTTCAGGGTGCCCAGCATTCTGCGATTAGAATGCTGTCGGGGTGTGTTTGGAGGGTTGGCCCACAAGGACGGTTTGGGGGGAATGTGCGTCTTGAGGAGAAGCCCTCTGCCTTCACCCATGTCTCGGAACAGTCTTCTCCTCTGCACAGTTCGGGTTAGTGAATCAGAACCGTGTGCATTTGTAATGTGAAAGCCTGTCGCTTTTTGCTTCTGGATGCCGAATGCTACACTGCCAAACCTTGAAACCCCTAAAACCCTGAACCCCAAAACCCTAGACACCTTCACCCCCAAACTCGATGGAGAGACGCGGAGCGGCGGAAAAACACCCTAAAACCCTGTACAGCCCTGTTCGACATCACGGTCGCAACCCTGCTGAAATCACATTGAACCGTTTCCGAACTTGTCAAACACCATAACTCAACCCCGCATCAACTACTTGTAAGTCACTACACTGTGAGATCCTACGTTGCATCCCTCCGACACATCACAACCGTTATCGCCCGCATGACCATCATCGCCGTCATCAGCGTCATCGTCATCATCAACAACAGCATCGCCACCGTCATCACCAGCCCCAGATCATCACCATTGTCGTCAATGTTCTCCTCCTCGTCCTCCTCCTCATCCCTATCATCATCATCATCACCATCATCATTTCCATCATCAGCATCGTCGAGCTCAAACAGCTGGTCTTGAAAGGATGTTGATAGTCGATAGGTTTATACAGTTGTGGAGGGGGTTTACAGGGTATATACAAGAACCTGCAGAAATGCTCCCAAGCCTCGGCGTGCCAGTCACTCTAACAACCCACTAGACACAACAAAAGAAACGATCCCAAGCAATACTAGCTCTGCCGGGCCTGCCAGAGGCATCTCGGGAGCTGTGACCTTCAATGCAGACACTGGGACTGCACAGGCCGTGCTGGCAGTCCCGAGAAACGCGGCTGTTCAGGTGCAACGTGGGGACATCCCTCAGTTTCATTCAATGCAGCCATGCGGTCGGCCTTGGCGATCCGTCCGTCAACCGTGGAGGATGCCTCGCCTCGTGTCAGCCCAAACATAACCCAACGGCAAAGCGACACACTAACCTTTCGATGTCTGCTGCAGATGAAGCCTGTGATCTTCTTCTGCGCTTGTTGCCGCTTCTTCTTCAGCGCCTGTTTTGGACGAGTTTGACTCTGCTCCGCTTACGAAGCGTAGCTCCGACCGCTGCAGGCCTCTAGCAGCCGTTCGTGCCTGTTCTTGGCCTTCCACGGGGCCACGAGCAATCGTTCTGTTGCTGCAGGCATTGCTGCCCAGCTACCTCGGCAAGCTTGTTCCTCACATCGCTGTGGGAGACTTGTGCCTGCAGGAGGAAGCCGATCACAGACAAAGCGCGGGAGAACTGAAGTCAGCAGAAACGGACTTTCACTGAGATGGCCACGCGGGTTGCTCGCACCTGCACCCGTTTCCCGCAACACTATGCCCAGCAGTTTTTGCATCTGTGCGCAAGCGATGCGTGCCCTCAGGTTCTGGAGCTGCTCCTTCAGGTCCTGCAGCGCAGGTGCGCCGCCTCGAGCAGGTGCTGCTTGCAGAGACCCCGTGCTTGACGTTTCTATTGCGCTATTGCACCAGCGTGTCAACGAGAAATTTGGGCCCTGGCGGGTACTTCGCAGCTCATCGTGCTTCTGCTCGAGATAGGCTACAGTTTGGCACACCTAAGTTTTGGCATATTAGGACTACTCAACAACAAGCCGTTGCCTGCACTTACTCTGTGTCTGGCCGACTCGTACGAGTCTGCGAGCGCCTCTTCTGCCTTTCTCACCTCAGCTCTCAGGAATGCGGCCAGAATTCCAAAAGCAAATTAAGACTGGCTAAGTACGAAGACTCCCCTCAGCCACAGGCGCAAGCCATGAAGGGTGTGTAGACCTGGCCATCCACGATTATAAGCTCGCTTGAGAACCGCATCAACCGCAGGCCATCCGGATGCCTCCAAGTAGGTAGTGCCGGCAAGGCCGGCCACGGTGACGAAACCTACATGCAAAAAGGCAGTTGGCGCTGAAACCTTCCCTTTCTCCCCGTGCTGGCCTTTGGCACCGTCCTTAGCCTTGCACTCCACCTTAGATCCGTGCATCAATTCCCGACGTGCAATTGTCGTGCGGACAACGTAGAAAAATCACGTCTTGACCTGTGCTGCTACTGTACCAAGCACAGCCAGCGACAGAATCTTGGTAAACCCTAAAATGAGCATATGCTCGGGCCCTTGGCAATTGGAACTTGGTGACTGTATGCTGAACCAGCGAAGATTTAGATATGCTTGAGCCCTAAACCGGAAATCCTAAACCCAAAAACTTCTCCGACACTGCACCGGCTTTGGCACTCGCCTCCTCTGACTCTGCGGCCAAACTGCGCGAACCAGGCCACTCTGTGGCTCGCGTCCAAAAGCCTCCAAGACCTGTCTCCAAAAGCTTCAAGCGACTGATACTAGAATAGAATCTGACATAACGGAGACATCGTCACGGCAAGATTCCCGATCCGTATGCGGTACATACATCCATGATCGAATGAAGTGTGCCACCATAACACAGCGGCTTCACGTAACCGCTGCTCTCAAGTGGTCGGACTTCCACCAGGTAGCTTTAGTAAGGTCTAAGTGACCATAATGTTGAAAAACAAGAACAAAAATCACATTTATCATGGTCCACTGCATCGAGGTGGCTGTTCAAATCTGGTGAATGCCTTGGCTGTTTGGTTAAGTTTTCCAGACATACACGACTCAGCATCATACTGGGTCGAGTGCCTTGCTGCATAACCCGAAGCCAAACCATGCAAGCGTCTTTTGGACACAGTTTCCGCTTCGAAAACGATTGAACATCTGGAGCTTCAAATCTTCTGCCTCCCGCCCGGATCTCAACAACCAATGCTCAACACCCACCATAATACAAAGAGCCTCGTTGACCTCGAGCTTCCGGACAGTCCTGCTGCACACCTTTGACAGGATGTGTATATGAAGAAAAAAAGGGTAGAGACATATACATATACATATACACCTACACCTATACTCATTCACAGACATACACAATATATACATGTATACATGTATACATGCATACCTGTATATATCTATATACACATACACACACATATAGTACATAATATGTGTGTATAAATATATATGTGCGTCACATGCTCTCCACCCTGCCGGCGACAGACCATCGCAGTGAAGACATAGACGTGGTTAGACTAGAAGAAGCATCAGGGTATCGCAATTGGGTTGACAGTTGCAACGCATATCTCGAGCCTACTGTTCTGCTAATACTTCATTCAGCCCTGGCTTAATCTCAAAAGAGAGGTATATTAATTATCCACTGGCAGGTCTTTATGCGATATGATTGCCAATCTTTGATGAATTTCACCCTTTTGCCCTGCACAAACATAGATAGTATAAATTTCTACTGCTTGAAGGCGTTACTACGGCGCGACTAGCTCATTGATTGTTTTCGCCTGGTGTTCATGCACAGACCGTTCCTGTTTGTCTACCATTGAAGACTCTTCTATGGGAAAACTCCTGTTGCACGAAAACGGCTCATACGGGCTTACATACTTCGTGAAATAAATCTATCGGAAGTCTGCTTGTATCTGCTTATGTGTGCCATATGTTTGCATGGGGGTGGTATTTAAGACCTTAAGAGCTGTGTTTTCATGTCTGCGGGGCTTTAGCAGGTGCTTCCCCTAAAGAAGGCTTGATCAGCAAAATAGCATTAATTCACAACAGCAGTCTAACGTACATGATTGTCGAATGGTCATCAACATTTCCAAGGTGTGATAGTTTTACAACGATTTTGCAAAATCAATCTGAAATAACTCCTAGTTTGACTAACGAATGAGCATGAGTTGCTGTAACTGATGCACAGACTTAAGATGAACCAACATAAACTCAGGAGACTGTGTAACAATTTGCTGGTACAGGGACAAGATCCCAAGAATCAACGAGCAATATAAAGATTGATATGCAGCCACATCTTGAATTATATGTCTTATGCGAGAGAAGCGTTCGCCGCTCGTGGATTCCATTTACTTTAGCCGCATGAAGCTCAGGCAGGGGCGTCCTTGTCGGTTGTCATCCTTACGGATGACACCTGGAAAGCACAAGACTCCAGCAGCTGCATCTGAATCTCAACAAACTCAGGCATCCAAACAAAGGACCCTCAAACAGCAAGGTCAAAGCAATCCCCCAAAACTCTTAAATTTTCTGACAGCACATGATGAAGACTGCAACCTTACCTTTACCTTGGAAGATTTATTCCTTGGTCTTCGTCTGTAAGGTGCAGGCGCAAATGAACTGCACCTTCATATTCTCTTCGAACCTTAGTCGCGTGCAGTGCCCTGGTATACACTTTCGCATCGGACAGCAGCCAGGTCAGCTCTCACAAGCCCCGAACCTCTCCAAGGAGATGCCGGGGTCCTGCGACCGTCATTCTCTCTGCTTTGGTCGCATCGGCGCCATTTCCAGTGGTTTGGAATCTGGCCTCTGCGGAGGCCTCAGCACCCATCTGCGCCACTGCCGCGATGAGAAGCTCTTGCTCCTGCAATTCTCGTTCTGATGCTAGGGACTGAGAACAAACCGCATGTCATGTTGTCATCGCTGTGCGGATGGCACCCTGCAGGCAAAACAAACTGAACGTGCAGCTCGAAGGAAGACTCCTCCTCTGTACCCAGGAGGTCTGACAAGTCCTCAGTAAGCTTGATCATGACGAACTCACGATCCGTACGGAGATGTGTCGTGCTGATTGCTGCGCAAAACGATTCAAGTGTGGGAGCTCGAAGCGTGTAAGGACAGGTCCGGCAGCTCTGGCTGCAAAGACTTCAGGGCCGTCACGATTCCTGCTTTAACCGGCGTGAGAAACCCCAGCTGGGACCTCAGTGTCAGCCAGCGAGCCCTGACCCGCAAACCCTGAAACCCCAAACCTTGAGCATAACTCTCTGCACACTCTGCGCCGAACGGATCCTGCTGGCATCAGGTGGTCGCCGCCGTGGCTCTCTCCGGAAGCCTCGGCCTGCTCTTTGAGCTAAAAGCTACGGTTTCAGTGCTTTTTCGGGGTTGAGGCTTAGGGGTTTAAGACTTGTTGCCTCTTGCCTTGCTGAGCGAGTGCAGGTAACAAGACACAGCCAAGTAAATTCAGTCGCGACAGATTTAGTGTTGCACACTCTCAAGTCTCAAGATCAGATGCATCCCAGAAGAAAACATACAGTAGACCTCGCCAGTGCTAAGAAACAATCGTGTAGATATTTTTGGGTCACCATGCAGAGAGCAGAAGGCTCGCCCACGAAAGTTCAACCACCTCGAGGGCTAGGCAGGGAAGTTGACAAGTCTTCAAATTCAGGTGAGTTGTCATGCATTGTCTTATTTCCACGACTAAGCCGAGGGATTAGGGTTTCGGGTTAGTTGGCTGAGAAAAATGAAAGAAGCTGAGGTCGTTTCCAGTTCTGCAAAAAGCGCCGAAGGAGTCTTGGAGGTTGCAGCTGCGTGCCGTCGCAACCTGATCTGCTGACTTCGGGGAACAAGTCTGGCATCCGGCGAAGAGTACTTCCACCAAGCAGCCACACCCTGAGCTCAAGAGTCCGAGACTCGGGCATTTCTAGCAACTGTCCCAGGCGAGCCAATGCCCGCAACTCCTGACAGAATCTCTCAAGCACCCAGATGTCCGTCGACTCAAGTGTTCTGACACGCGGCCACCTGCCCACCGCTGGCGGTGAACATTGCTGAGGTTTCGTGGAGCTTCTCCAACCCGACATGATCTGTGGCTTTCTCTGCAGGCCGCCCAGCAGTTTCCTGCAATTTGTGCATTTGCAGGCGAGGAACTTCTCATCGAGTCGCCTCCTGGCACTGAAACGTGGTCACATCGAAGCGAAGTTTCAACCAGACAGGGGCTCCCGGGCTGAATCCCGCATGTCACGCACGGGCAGTACGCTTTGAAAGGACATTATGACTGCAGCTGAGCAAGCGTGTCGCGGCGGCAGGCAAGTAGCTACAAAGCGGTACTCTTTGTCGTTTGCATCTTTCCTGCCAGTCCACCAAGCCTCACTTCCTCGCCGCACTCGGCTGGACCCCGGCCTCTGCTCGTCCAGCTTGGTCTGCAGCAGTTCAAGCCTTTCAAGCATCTCCTGGAGCGGTTGGGAAGAACAACCGCGCATTGGAGTGTTATCCCCAAGCCGCCTGGAACTCCTTGACCTTGGAGGTGTCCGTTGTCACCTGAGAAAAAAGGCAGCCCGCTGGCAGTATATCATATGCGACATGTTTCATGCTATATACTGTATACTCATAACATATGTATATATATACACACACAAGACATCGAACATGGCATAATATAATATGTACTGTATACTCTATAGAATATGATATATATATATGTCTGTATATATATATATATATAGATCTACACTTTACACTTTATAGCGTAACGCCGAGCCAAGGACCCCATCGGCCTTCGCCCTCTGCAACCTGCGGAACAATCGTTTGCGACTCGCACAACTCGCTCAACGCCTCGGCTTCGGGTCTGGGATTAGGGAGTTTCCGAAAATGGGGGTACCTTATTTTGGGGATCTTATAATAAGGATCCTGTTATTTGGGGTACTATATTAGGGTCCCCTATTTTCGGAAACTCCCATTAGGGTGTAGGTCTCGGGTCTCGGGCTTAGGGTGTAGGGATCTAGGGTTTAGAGTTAGGGCCGAGGGAGTCGTAAGAAAACGGCCACGCTGGGAGCCCTACCGCTCCACCAACGGAACTCGAGCAGCTTGGATAGCCGTCGTGGCCTTCCATGAACAAAGCAAAACCGGATCCATCAGTGGCCAAACTTGGCCATGCCCTTGGCCCTAAGATGTCTGACCTTAAAATGTTGGAGGCCTCTGTCTCAGCTGCGGCAGCTTTGGAGATGAAGGACTTCATCTGCAGGGGCTCAGCGTCCTGCACCAAGCCCTGTATCCATCTAGCACTGGAGCCGGTTCGGCCAACTTATTTCGAAAACACCTTTTCCCATCTGCCCTAGGACCCTAAGATAGGAATGAAGTTTGAAGGTCGCTATCCTGCTCTCCCGTCCCCTCCCCCAGCCCGCCCGCCCCGGCCGTCCTCTGGCAGGTCCATCAAAGCCGCCTGAAAAGCCTCAACCTGTCGCGAGCCACTCAGTCCCCCAAGGCTGTACTGACTGGGGATTTCAGCAGGCAGGGAAGGACCACAAGTGGAATTCAGATCCTCCTGATCTCGACTTCTGGATCCCCAATCTTAAGATATACGCTGTCTTTCTCAATCATTTTCATTTTCCAGACCTCCTCCCGACTAAGATTGGACACCTAAAGCAAGGAAACTGAGCAACTGTTCATCAGCGGACAACGTGGCCTTTGCTTCAGCCAGCTCGATGTCCTCTGACGGATGAAGCAGTCGAGAAGAGTAAGAGCACGGTTTGAGAAATAAGCTTTGCTTTGGCACATGAAAACGCATTTTCACCCGGTCGTGTCAGGGTTCTCGGCGCTGTGGTTGCTGCTGATGCAGTCGACATATCGTTCACACTGATCAGGATCAACAACTATCAAAATGCGGGGTGGTTAGTGTGGGTTCAGGGTTTGGGGTTCATAGGGTGTCGTGGGTTTAGGGTTTGCATAAGGTTTGGGGTGTTGGCGCACAGAGCTCCTGGTACTTGGCAACACGAATTCGCAGGGCTTTTGAAGCATTTCAGACGGGGTTGCGCAAGTGTCCGAGCATTCCCCTAACCCCCAAGGCCCCTGGCCCTGCGAACCTTTCGCACCGCTTTTTGCAGTCGTACTTGGGAGCTGCTGGACGCTTTGATGAGGGCTCCCACTAGACGACGATCAATGCAAATTCATGGGGGAGCTGCTTTGATAGTGGAGCGGCCATAACTGGGGCTGCGCTGTGTAGTATACTTTAGTCAGCAGCTCAAAGAGTGATATTAGCAATCATGCAAACCCCTACCTTAGGTCCGAACTGGTCGTCAGGGTTCGCACCACTGGACCCTCCGAGGTTCCGGCCGCAGTTGAGCTCCCCTGCTTTACCCACTCCCCGACATTGAATCCTAAGGACCGATCCAACAAAGCAATACAAACGCTCAGCACCCAAAACAATTCACAGAATCCTCAGCCCAAACACAACACTCAAAGACCAACACGCGACCCTCAATCCATCATCCAAAAGCCTGAGCCAAGTAAATCCGCGCCTGCTTGAGCAGCTCCTGACGAGGCTTGACAACATAACCTACCTTAAAGCACGGGTTAGTGTTTGCTGTTTGCCGCTTCAAAGTCTCCTGACACTCATCAATGTCCCCCATGCCCCCATATTGAATTGCGACTGTGGTAGCCGGCTGGTACCCTGAATCAGTCAAAAGGAACACGTTCTTTTCGGACTTGGGGGAGGGTAGAGGGGCCTCTCACCAAATGAAGAAGTTTGAAGCTTGGGGGGCTCTGTTGGTGTATGGACTGACCACTTGCACCATGCCCAATTTGTCGTTTGCCTTTGAGGACTGCAAGTTCAAGATCCTTGCTACATGGTCAATGGGACATGCATCTAGACTGTATGCGATCTGGAGGCCACTTCAACCACCACTCTCCCCTCTACGTGCACAGCATCATCCAAGCGTGTGGTAGGTTTCGGGTTCAGGTGTTTGGATCAGCCACCAAACAGTGACAGTAAACATACTAGCATTTTCTGTCGGCTAGTGCCTTTGTACAGTCTTGAAATCATGGGTCGTAAGGGTTCATTCACTGCAATTGGCAAAACGGATTTCGCTCGGGACGCCCTTCTGAGAGAAAAGAGGAGAGAGTGAGAGAGCGGGAGAGAGAGACAGAGACATTATCTCAGAAAGAAAGCTAAAACAACTGAGGGGAAGACGTGCAAAGAAGAGATAAAGCTGCATATTTCCAAGGTTCGGATTCGCTTAGGTACCGAGCTTGGACAGCAATATCAAGCACAACCTATCGTTACAAGGAGTCTTCTGCGCGTAAGTGCGACGTGCCACCCATCAAGCCCTGACGAACAGTAATTTCCAATCATGGGCCCATCCTTGCGTAGTCATGGGATCCCAAAAGGGTGGCATGCCTAAGGAAGGGAGCTCTCTAGGACTCCTTTCACACTTGCCCGTGACCGTGCCTACACAGAACTCGTGCATATGTATTGCTCGTATGATGAAGCATGCGTTCCATATTTATACATCTCAAAAATAGAGATTTAGCTTTTCATTAGTATATCTCGCAAAAAATTCAGAATAATTTGGAGAAATTTATAGAACCAGAACAAAAAGAAATGAATTTATGAGATTTAGAATTGGAGCTTTTCGTATGAACAGAAAAAAATTGAGCGCGAATATTCTTGAGATGTACGCGTAGAGCTTTACACGCTATATTCCGTAAAGATGCAATACGAATAACTTTGAGATATGATTGTGCATCCCGCAAAAATAGGACACCAGCGCCTTTGGGATATACTCTTTGAGCTTCTCGTAGTGCATCTTGCAAAGACAGAATGGGAACAACTATGATATACGTTTTGAATTGTTCTCCGGTGCGTTCCATAAATATAGATCGCGGACTAATTGAAGTATGCTCTTTGTCCTTTTTGTTTTATATCCCACATTTGCTTTGGGATGTACGCTTTTGATCAGATTTGATGGGCTCTTGTTGCAGATGACTTGGGGCCACCCTCTCGGTGCACGGAATGCCCCCGGTTTCAAGGGCCTCATTACTGCACCTAGCCGGGCCTGAAAGTCATACTGAACTGTTTTGACAGGATGGCGCAGTGCTTCAAACATGTACACGGATTCCTAAAGCCCCCTCACCACATGCAATACTATTACTCGTATTCTTAAAATCATGCTTGTTCCTGTTCTTAGTCTGTTGATTTTTGTCAGCTATTCGTGTTGTGAAATATTACTACTACCACTATTACCGCTACTCTTATCAGTATTGCACCTCTGGTTATTGTTGGTTAGGAAAGTTGCATTTTTCAACTGCTGAGCAGGAACAAAGTAGCCCCATGCTGTCGAGTTGGATGGTTGATACGATTTTACCTCGTATGTTTATGGACGACAGAATGGCTACGGTATTGTTGAACCATGGCCGTCACCATGACTGGTTACGCCTTCGACCACCTATCCGGCAGCATTACTGTCACTACTGAGGATGGCTATATCATCTTCACTACTAACGACAGCAGATTATTCTGGTGTCCTTTATGTTACCGACTTCGGTGGTGAGCGATTCTCGACAACGATGCGGTTCAAAGTTCAAATGGACAGAGCACGTTGGCTCCGCTGTGAACTCGCATCTGATTCAAAAGCTCGGGTTTGGGGAGTGGTCCCTCTCTTGGTGGGGCTACATTTGAGTTTTGGACCCCAACCCTGCAAGATAACTCCGCAAGCTCTCTCGGAGAGCTTCCGCGGTTTCTGATTACCTACAGCTGGCAGTCCCGAGAAACGCGGCTGTTCAGGTGCAACGTGGGGACATCCCTCAGTTTCATTCAATGCACAGCCATGCGGTCGGACTCGGCGATCCGTCCGTCAACCGTGGAGGATGCCTCGCCTCGTGTCAGCCCAAACATAACCCAACGGCAAAGCGACACGCTAACCTTTCGATGTCGCCTGCAGATGAAGCCTGTGATGATGTCAGCAGCTATCTTCTTCTGCGCTTGTTGCCGCTTCTTCTTCAGCGCCTGTTTTGGACGAGTTTGACTCTGCTCCGCTTACGAAGCGTAGCTCCGACCGCTGCAGGCCTCTAGCAGCCGTTCGTGCCTGTTCTTGGCCTTCCACGGGGCCACGAGCAATCGTTCTGTTGCTGCAGGCATTGCTGCCCAGCTACCTCGGCAACCTTGTTCCTCACATCGCTGTGGGAGACTTGTGCCTGCAGGAGGAAGCCGATCACAGACAAAGCGCGGGACAACTGAAGTCAGCAGAAACGGACTTTCACTGAGATGGCCACGCGGGTTGCTCGCACCTGCACCCGTTTCCCGCAACACTATGCCCAGCAGTTTTTGCATCTGTGCGCAAGCGATGCGTGCCCTCAGGTTTTGGAGCTGCTTTTTCAGGTCCTGCAGCGTAGCTGCGCCGCCTCGAGCAGGTGCTGCTTGCAGAGACCCCGTGCTTGACGTTTCTATTGCGCT